TTTCAGCAAGCAGTTTTTGAGAGCATCTATGTCAAGCTCTGTGTTAGGCATCAGGGATACAAAGACAAAGGAGATTCAGACTGTGGAAGATCCACTTTTTACTGGAGAAAACTACACAGAAAGAGATAACCATAAAACGTGGTAAATGTAGTGATAAGAGAGATGCACTGAGAAGTACAAGAGCGAGAGGGGCCTGGTCAAGAAATTCTTCTTGGAAGAGGAGGGGAAAATATACATATGCCAAAATGAAGGACTTGGTTTTGGAATCAGGATGATTCACCCTAAAAAAGCTTTTCGCTCATAAATAATAGAAGATTCTATTCAAACAAACTTGAAAAAGAAAGACAATTGGTTTTTTCAAAAAGGTCAAAGTCCAAAAGAAAGGTCAGTTGATAAAGAGGGTCACCCTGTCTTCAGGACTGGGGTTCTACTTCTCTGCCTTCCATGGATCAGCTTCTTTCTTGGTCAACTTTCCTCATGGAAACAAAATGGCTACTGCAGATCCAGCCCCACATACCAAATTGTCACAATGATGCAGCATTCCAAGTCAAGGTGCTGAGAGGCACTCTGCTGGCCTGGCTTAGCTCACAGGCCTATTCCTGGTTCAGTCACCATGATCAGGGCATGGAATATGCTAACTATCCTAGCCTCAGTCACAATTCTACCACTAGAACTAGGGGTAGCATCAAACGTTTAGAATGGAGAAATGTTTGCAGCCAATGTGTATCTGCTATACAAAGGAAGCAGAGTACCTAGCTGGGCTTCCTGAAGCTCCATATGTGGTATCATCATCTCTCATCAACAGCCAGAAGAAGCCCCTGATTCTTCAGTGAAGTGTCATGACCAAGAGAACAGAAAAGGATCCTAACTTTTGAAAATCAGAGGCAAAAACCTGTTCTTCAAGGAAAAAAATTCCTATCAGCCCTCATCATACTATGGTTTCTGGAATATATTAAACCAAAACCTCTCTTGGCTGGGTCAGATGCCTCCTTTTGTGTGAGGAGGGAGGCAGTACTATAGCACTTTGGGTAGCTAATGGTATGCTGCAGTAGCAAACAACCTCCAAATCTCATTGGCTTAACGCAAGATCACCACAAGTCCAGGTGAGTCTCCAAGGGCATGGTCCTCCATGTGATGACCCAGGGATCCAGGCAAAAGGTGTTTCCAGCATCCTATAACTTGCACCCTCTGGTCCCCAAATCAGAACAGCAGGAAGAACCAACTGGAGAGACAAGCACTGGGACTGTCTACCTGGAAGTGACACCCAGCGCTTTGAGTCACATTTCTTTAGCCAAAGCACGTCCCATGTCCATACCTAACATCAAAAGACAGGTGAGCACAGTCCATGCCTAGAAGTAGAGAACTGGGTATTGGAGAAGGCTGGTAATACCTGCTCCCGTGGAATTCCAGGCTCCTCAAGCAAGAGCAGAAAACTGTGCCAGATGCCGCGCCTGCCCGCTGCACTGGAACCAGCCTTCTGTGATTCAACTGCCACACGCAGGAGCTGGTCTCCAGGCAGGGAGGAGACTGGCAATGGAAAGATTAACCGCTCCCTGGGTTCCACATGGGGATCAGTACTTTCAATAGTACTTTGTGAGTTCAGCCTCAAAGTAAATGGTTAATTCATCTTGTATCAACAGCACTGTGATTCATAATGTAAACTTGGAGAATCCTTGATGTTTCAGGCCCACATTCCTTTTATTTTGGCTCTGCATTCTTTTAAAGCCACAGTGTGCTCATTTAATAGAATGCAGCATGCAAATGCACAAGTTTTTGCCTGGAGGCAATTTAGCCTGGCTGTTTCAATGGATGTCTTCTTTCAAGTGTATATTCTTTCTTAAATTATTTACTGGGTAAACACACTTTGCATTTTCAAAAGGGAGATTAAGACTGCTTGCTGCAGACCTGGTTGAACATAAAGCCCCTCCTTGCCCAAAGTTAGGAGGAAGTTACTTTGGACTTCCCCCCAAGTTCCTTCTCTGTCTCACTAGCTGGGAACCCCTCTCTCTGCCTGGCTTGTTTTTCTGATTCTCTCGGAACTCTGCATTCCTTTCTCTTTGCCTACAGCAATACGGGCCGGCCGCCCCTGGCTGCGACGATATCTAGGCTTCTTTACAGATGGGGCCTACCAGTGCCAGCCATTGTTTCCCCCTTCTAAGCTGGCTCTGTCCTATCCACCCAAGTGCCCTGAGAGTTCACTTTTCTGGTCCTGAGAAGGACTGCATTTGCACAACTTCTCTGAGGTCCAAAGCTGTGTAGATGGCCTGGCCAGAATACTTACAGCTCCGACTCTTTTTTCCCCTCTGTACTCTTCCTTCAAAATGTCTGCCAGCCTTTGGTTTGAAAGCAAATGTCCTTTCCTGCTGACATCCTCCAGCACACGTCTCAGTTCCCCAATGACGGGTCCTTTTCCTAGCTTCAGGGAGAAGACTCAGTAGTGCTCTGAAAAGGTGTGACAGAGTATGAAGTTCCATCTTTGCAGTGCTAGTTTCAACCATTAATGTTAGCCTTTTCCATGCAGACTTCTTGAGATTTTTCTGCAAATTCAATTGCACAGATTTAGGGTAACCCCGTCAGGTCCCCTCCCACTCTGGGAGCCTTTTTGTCCTCTCAATAAGTCCTGCTTTCAAAAAAATAAATAAATTGCAGAGATTTCGTCTTCATTCTCCCTCGGATGGAACGGTTAAGAGTACCAGGGACTGCACTCTTTCATTATCACTCTTTGAACAGTTCTCTTTTGATTACCTGTGTGCCAGCAACTGTGCCGTGTTCTGGGGCTGTAGAGGTGAATTCTGCCTGGTACTGGGCCACACAGAAGGGTCTGCTGAAGCAGCAGGAGAGGGTAAGGCCCCAGGCCCTTGTGGATGCACTAAGGAGAGGGTGAAGCCCAATTAGGGAGGCCAGGGAAGTGCTGAGGGTTTAGGGATTCCTGTGTATTCCTTTTTCTAACCATGCCTCAGATTGAACAAGTAACACCCACAGTTGATCCTTTATAAATTAGCATCATGGATGCCTTGGGGCCCTCAACCCACAAATAAAATGGTTGTCAACCAAGCTGTACAAGAGACACACTACTGTAGATTACTTAAGGCAGAATTTTAAAGAGTTTTCATGCTTTTAATCTGTTTCACTGCTGAGTTTCAATTTTGCTGATTTCCTTTGCAAGTCTGATGAGGGTGACTGTGGTAAATAGAGATTTTGACAGTGACTTGGGCAAATGGGATGTGTAGGGACTGTTCTGAAGACTTATGTCCCTTCCAGAGAAAAGGGGAAAAAATCAATTTGGGTTTTAAATGGAGCCACCAAGTAGCACCAATCAGTGTTCATAATTTGCCTCACTTTAATAAGTTGTGAAGCTCTGTTTTTATTTATTTATTTGGAAGACAGAATCTTCCTGCCTCCTGAGTAGATATGGCAGGTTAAGTCTGAATTAGCTGTCATCACAGAAGAATTAATGTGGGGTACAGACTTTCTAGTGGAGAAGGGAAGAAATAAACGAGACAGATCTTAGCTGAGCCTTGCGTGATAAATGAGCACCAAGCGGACCATTCATCTCCGGTGAGGAAAGTGGACACAGGCACTAAAGCAGTTTTGCGGAAGACGTGTCAGCAAATGTGATCATTTTGTAACCTGTCAGGAGGAGAGGGAGCTCGTCCTTTTAGGGGGCCACAAGGGAGTGGGTTGGTCTGATGTGACAGTTTCCGTTCATCCGTTTAGGTGTGGGGAGAAAGGGGATGGGTGAGGAGGAATCTGACTAAAACTTCAACCTGGTGTCATCATTCTTCCAAGAAGTAAACTCATCTAGAAGCTAGAAAAGACTGCAGATACCCTGCAAAGGTTTTTGTGTGTGTGTGAAGATAAAAAGTAGGAGGATGGGTTCTCTGTTCAGCTGGGGACCTGGCTTAATCTCACCTAGCTCCTCCCTATGGAAGACCCATGTCCAGAGTTCGAGTGTGGAATGAGGCAGCAGACCTTTTGCTGCTTGCTATTTGGAGGAGGGGTGGGTGGAATTTGATATGGGGTTTCAGGCTGGATGGATAGCCAGCTAGCCAGCCGACCAGACTGTGTCTCTATTTCTGTGTGGCTCTGTGAGAGCGAGCGTGGGCACTGCTGTTTGACCTAGGTTCCCTTTGAAAGTCTCAACAAAGCATTCTGATGTTCGACCTCTTTTCTCCGAATGAGGTAACAAATTATGAAACAGCCTCATCACAAGCTCTCTGCAGGCATCCGGGAGCGTGTGTCTCCACTCTGGTCCTCCTTCTGAGTCCCTGGTTCCCCGTCAGCATTCAGCAGAACCAGAACCAAGAGGGGTTAGAATCCCTAGAGGTGAGGGCCCACCAACAAACACACAACAGGCACCCGGAGTACTTTGTATTATTTCTCATTTCCATCTTTTTTGCTACGGAGCAAATGTAACGTTTCTTCCTGGTGCAACGGAGCATGAGCACAGTGACAGATGATGGTTTCACAACCCAAGCTGCACGTTTGACACTTGCTTCTTAACCCTGTCCTTGTCTTCCTACGTCTCTCTTTTACTTTTCCCCAGGTATTTTTGTGCAGGTAAGTCCCTTGCTGACATATGTTTCCTTGGAGTCTTTTGCTTTAATAGCAAAAAAAAAAAAATGAGGCTTGTCTCACCTTTTAAATTAAAAAGAGAAGCTCACAAGGGGCCCTTGATCACTTAAACTACATAGTACTCTGAACCTAGAAAGCCATTTGATTTGCCTTAGCTTTACAGTAAGCATTTCTCCGAGGGCAGCATTGACAATCGCTGTGGTGTCATTTGTTTTCTCGTGGGTCATTTGTAGAACCAAAAAGCTGCATGATCTATCACATGCTACACACACACACACACACTTCACATACGCACACCACACATCAGATTCCCCACCCCCACCTGCAAAGCTGTTGTTTGATTAGCCAACTTGGCCTTCAGTGATTTTTGTCAGACTTTCGTACATTTGTCTGAGTGCATTTTTTTCTCCTTTGCTCTCTCCTAGAATCATCCAGAACCGCATCCTGCTCGTTATCCTAGGGATCATCGTGGTTCTCACCATCCTGATGGCGATCACTTTTTCTGTCAGAAGGCAATGATGTATCTGCTGTCCCCTGATAAACAGCAACAACGACTTGTTCTGAGTAATTAAGACAAAATGGTCACATGGATCATTCTTTTGCGCTGACAGGCCCCAGGTGACCCTCTCTCTCCCTCACCACTGTTCAACTGAAGTGCAAAGAGTGTAAAAGTATTTTCTATTCTTGTTTGCATGTGGGTTGGTTTCCTTTCCTATGTTCGTCTTCACCCAGATTTGTTTTTTATAGAGGAAGGTGAATGTTTACTTACCTTTTGGTAATTTCATCAACTGACCAACATAGCCTTGCCCTGTGGACATGTCAGGGGTCACACTTTGGGAGAGGGCAGGATGAGGCAATCACAGGAGCTTCTGTCTGTCACACGCCTCTTGTCACCGAAAAGCCCTTCTGTGATATCTGAGGATAAAAATGCAAAGAAAAGCAGTGGCCGGAGCTGGTGACCCACTCTAGCAAACCAGCACTGTTCCCACCCAGACTTAATGAATCTAGTCACCCTGCCTGAGTGCTTTCATTGTAAAGGTGGGTATTTAAAGTCAGTTGCGAGCCAGGCTCAGTGGCTCAGCCTGTAATCCCATGCCTTGGGAGGCTGAGGTGAGTGGATTGCCTGAGCCCGCGGGTTCGAGACCCGCCTGGGCAACTTGGCGAGACCTCATCTCTACAATAAATCAAAAAATTAGCTGGGCGTGGTAGCGCGCGCCTGTAATTCCAGTTACTTGGAAGGCCGAGGCGGAGGGATGGCCGGAGCCCAGCAGGTCGAGGCTGCAGTGGCCAGGAGCGGCCGCTGCACTCCAGTCTGGGAGACAGTGAGACTCCAACTCAAAAAAAATAAATAAATAAAGTCAGTTGTACAAGAAGTCATGTTAGCACTTTCCCTGTTTTTCTATTGCCTACATTTTTTTAAGCCCAAAAATATTTTTGCTGAGCCTGCCCAGTATTCACTTTTCACAACTTTGATTGCTGGCTACAAGAAATATTTCCTTCCCTTCCCCAAATCCCATACTCCCCAGAATTTGCTGGCAACGTGAGCCCTGGCACAGGATTTAATTGTGACCTCGTCTTCCCTGACCTGTGTAAGCATCTCTGTAGCCTTTCGGTTTTAATATTTGCACTGCCAAAAGCAGCCCTCATACATGCAAAAGGTCTGACAAGGTTCTTTCCACATCCACTCCAGTATGTAAAGAGAACATGAATATTTCAGTAAGAGCAAGAACATGACTCCAAATGTGATTATAAATATGGGAGAGTCCTATAGGATGATTCACTAGAAATAAACTTTATGGGAAACGTTCACTAACCTCCTTTAAAAGAATAAGGGACTGCAGATTGTTACAAAAGAAACGGCTTGGGTTTTTTACTAACAAATGTTAGCAAAGCTTTCCTGAATTCACTATGTATTCAAACCTCTAATGTGCACTATGGTTTTTGTTTTTTTTTTTTCCTTCATTTCTTTCTGGCTGAGGTAACCAGGAATTGCATTCAAAATGAATTCATTTGTGATCAGGCTTAAAAGTTGCCCAAGCTAAGGTCATTTTCCTTCTAGTCATAAAGCAGAATGTGTTTTTCTTAAGACTTCATGGGCACTTACTGGTCTGTCCTGTCTGTTGAATATAATTAGAAGCTTTGAATCCTTGAAAAGCAAACCTGTTCTCTTTATCAAAAATGCTAACCACCTGTGTCCATAGATCAAGCTCACCCAGATGCAGCACTTGACATTTTTCCCAACTCAGAAGAAACCCATTATGGTTTAGAGAGGAAAGGCAGAATGGCAAAATCCACCAGAGAAATTGTACTTATCGAAACAGGCCAGGGCCTGCATGTGTTCAGATAAATCATTTAGTATTGTGTAAATAAAGCCTCAGCCTAGACTTCGGAGGGATGGTATGGGATTTTGGGGGAGCAAAACAGGACAGTAAAGGAGCGGGAAGCTATGCTAATTTTCCTGTCAGCTTCAAGGATCCATCTCGGCAAGAATCTTGTCTTCTGATGACGGAGTTCTGTACATGCTAAACACATCTAAGAACCATTAGAAAGCAAGGAAACAAACAAGCAGCCCCCTTCGCATCCTGACACACAAACAGTCGTCAAGTATTATACCAACCCCTCTGATGGCTTCCTTTGAAACTGTTGATCTTAGCTAAAGTGTATAACCAGTTACAGAGCTGCACTTCCCACCTCTGTCCCGTCTACTGTCCAACAGACTTCCAAGGCCACCTGGCAAGCAAGGTTGATCTGATCGTCTAAACTTGCTGGCTTCTAAATATTTCACTAAAACCTTGTGTTCACATGGAAGTAGATGAAATGGGCGAGAAGGAATACATTGCTCATCCCTCAATAGCTTTTCCTTTCAAGTTTTATGTCTTCATCAGCCCTTTCCTGTGATTTTGCCCCAATTCAACCTTGGGAGTGGGAAGAATATGAACAGATGACCCTTGGCCTCATAGCTCCATCAGACCACCTCGAGAGCAACCACCTCGCTTGGGGTAGTGAGCACTTTGTGAGGAAGCTAGTCCCAAGGTCCCCTGAACTCTCTCCTGGCCTTCCTGGATGCTGCAGAAACAATTCAAAGAGCCCCAAGAGAGGCCAATTGTTCTTCCTTCCCTTCCCTGGGGAAGGAAGACAATCCACAAACTTAAGGCAGGTCATGAAGCAGATCTGTGAGAGGTTCTAGGTGCTTACTAGGTAGACTTTGATTGGTGAATATTTCTAAAATTGGGAGCCCTTGTTTAAAAGATGCTTGACTTGGGGGAGGGGGCGGAAATGAAGATGTGGAGGAGGACGAAGAGAAGGAAGCTCTTGCCATATAAAATTCATACAGACTAAACAGTTTCCCTGACAGAATAAATAAAGTGGATGCTACCCTGCTCCAGAATCAAAAGCCATTTAATTAAAGTCTCTTAAGTTGCAAAGAGTTTTAAATGTTCCATGTTGAAGGCGAATGCCTGCAAATGCAGTGGGCTTGACGTCAGCGCCAGGCCTGGGCTGGGAGGCCATTTGCTATTCTGTTTAAGGCAGGCTGGATTGTCTTATTTTGGAACCAGCTTGGTGGGGGGTTTGCTTTGCTACTGCTTCTGAGCCCTGAGCTTCAAAGGCTGAAATTAATGGTGAACAAAATTGTGCGGCTCTGGCCATCCCATGCGGGGCAAGCCCATTGAGGGTTATCATTAAGTAAAGAAATAAAGAGGGGGAAAAAGCCTGACTGTTCCAAAAACCTCATCAGATAATGACCTCAGTGATTGGGTTTTCATTACCAAACAGCATCCAGAGATTATCCACCCATAGAAGAAGGGAGGGGGGAAAAAAGAAAGAAAGGAAAAGCAACTGTCTTTCTCTCCCTCTCTTTCTCTCTCTCTCTCTCTCTCTCTTTTTTTTTTTTGCACATCTTTTCTTTAAAACTGTCAGATCATTTCAGTATTTCAAATCCGAGGAAAACAGCCTGCCTGCTGCTGTATTTGAAGTTGTAATGGTGTCAAAAAGTCACGACTGACTGACAGCCGTCAGTCCCAGAGGGGCTCATTAAATCATAAAAACTTGACAAGGAAATAATTGCGCATCGCCAGCAACTTGGCGCCTGTTTAGACGTTTTTATTTTCTTTCATTATTAGTCCCCACCATTACGTTCATTAACAAATTGCATTAAACAACTGTTAAGGGCTAATGATTTGTTTATCGCTTTTTTTTATTATTATTATTTAAACATTAGCTGTGTCATGTGGTACCCCAGCAGCCTCTTGCCATCATCTGACTGAATATTTTTCCACTCCGAGCTCTGGGTACTGTTGGAATATGAAATAGATTATTCATTACTCTCCTCTTTGCCACTGATTTGGTTTCATGTAGCGTCTTCCACAGAGAAAGATGAAAACTTGTCAAAAATAGGTTATATCTTATTCGAAGGGGCAACAATAGCAGCAGGTACAGGCACGCTTTAATATTTAATTAAGGTTGATGTTAACCCCTTTAAATGACTTTAGCTGTAAGTTATATTCAAATGCAGAAGAGAAAAATAATTGTTCTTAATTTGCAACCTGTTCAGCAGGCATTCTTCATGGAGTGAGCTGGAAATTTAGAGCAGAATTTTGAAATAATGAAATTTCCCATCATAAATATTTATAGCAGTTTGTCTACGTAGTTGAGAATTAACTACAAACGATGATTTCCTCATCGCTTTGGTTTGAACTGTTCGCCTAGTGGGGCAACCATGCCGGGGAGGGGAGGTGGCTTTCCTGGGAGAAACGTGTGTGTGGAAGGGAAGTTGAGAGCCAAGTTCTGTTGGTTGGTTGTGGCCAGCACTGGGGTTTCAAAGGAACCACTCTGAGTCCCCTGTCACTTTCCTTTTCCTTTGGCTGAGTATGTGGTTGGAGGGCTGTGGTCTGGCAGGAGAGTAAGCAGGGATGTATTAAAGGAAGACATGTGTGTCCGGTGGCTGGTTCAGGGAGAGCGTGATGGGGCTTGTCTTGGGCATCTCTGTGCAACCAACTGGAGTTTGTTACAAGCAGTGCTTTCCTAATAGGCAACAGGAGTGACACTTTGCTGGGATTGACCTTCTGCCCTTTTTCCTTTCTGTGACTTGCCATTGGTGGGTTGACTGCATTCTCCATGGGCTTTGAGCTCAAAGGGCCAGAGAGGACAAGGCTCCATCATCATCATTCCAAGCCAGAAGTCAGTGGCATTCTCCATGCTCACCTTGTTTGCTCACCATGGAAGCCACCCTCAGAGGCCTGATTCATTGACAATTCAGGGCTGGTGTGTTGGGTCTGCATAGATGAACGGGGAATACTATACTCCCATTCCCAGAGGGACCAGAGCCCTTAGGTAGCTCCGCTATGGGTATGAGGGGAAGAGATGGTACGTGTTCCTTGCTCAGTGCATTATCTCCCAGCAGCAGCACCCCCCACCCCGGGACAGATGGTCCTGAAGGGCCAGTCCAGTGGGCGTGAGGCAGAGGAGGCCTGGCCTCAAACCTCATTGGTCACTATGGGTACAGAAACAGCAGATGCACCAGGGTTTGGAGGGAGTCTGGGGGGTCCCAAGCCTCCATCTCAGTCCAGGGAGGG